GGGGGGGGGGGGGGGGGGGGGGGGGGGTTTAAAAACTAAAAAAAAGTGCTATTTAGTAAGATTTTGTACTAAGTTTCATGGAATTTGGTTATGTATTTCCACCATGAGAGGAAAAAATTAAATAGATATCTTTGATAACCCTTAGATTAGATCCAGAAAGAGATAAAGAGATCATTAAGTAAGCTGGAAATGAAAGCTTCTCTTTAATTTTTAGTAAAAGTGTACTTCATGACAGCATAACATTATGTATGAATTTATCTTGGTTTAATTAAAATATGGATACAGTTGTAATTTAATATAATAAATTGCTACATCTTATTTGGAAGTATAATTAGGATTATTACAAATCCATGAAAGTTATAGTTTTTCATTTGTGCAATATGTGAAATCCAGTCTTGCCTTCATTTAGGCTTGTACAGTTTAACTAATAAAACATATGGAAGCCTAAAAGTTCTGTAGTATGGTGTTGTGTAGTTTTATTACATTGGGTGTGTGGGAGGTTGTGGTGTGTTTTTAACATATGTTCAGATGGATTATCATAAAGTTGGTTTGTAAGGAAGCACTAGTGGATATTTGATGCCTTTATTAATCAGGTAATTATGTAGATATTTGATACCAGTGATGCCTTTATTTATTCATATAGATTTTCAGGTCATTGCAGATAAATACAATAAGCTGTTTTCTAGTCTGGTTTTCTCATCATTTATGAATGTATTGAGAAATGCATACATATCGAAAAAAATTCATATATTTCTGGAATATTTTCTTATGTCTCCTGTGTGTGCAATAACTCCTTGTTTATGATATATAACCATTGCAAATTAAGCAATCTTTTGAAATAGTCTGACTATGTTTAAAACATTTATATTTCCTAAACATCTAGCAGACCTGACACAGGGTGTAGTTTTTAAATATACATTTGCTTTTACACCCATCATGAAAGAGACTGAAGCTACTCAGCTTTCCAGCTGAAATTAACATGGGTTTTCTTCAACTCTCAGTAGGGTGTAATATGAAGATATATATTAAGTTCATATTAGGTATCAAACTTAATTTAGTTTATCCTATTTCATATTACAATCCCCAATATTGTTGATTCCAAATAGCTGATTCATAAGAGAGTCTAATAAATTGCATTTTTAGTTGTGATTCTGTTTCTTTCTCCACTAATATTTATTGATGTAATAGTAAAAAGTAGCTTGATTCATTGTTTGTTTTGCCCTTATATAACAACAATTACTGCACGTTTTTTTACTGGATTAGTAAAATACCAAAATTGATATACAGCAAAATAAATTAAATGTAATGCAAAGTGGACATTTTCTGCAGGGTTACTCCTATGTTGCTCCATCTGTGATGTTCACTGAGAATGTGATTAGTGATGACCTACTTTGTAGATCAATTGAGAACAAACCTAGTGTATCACAACTTTTAGCTGCAAAGTTCAAGGTAAATTAAAGTTCTGATTAGTTCTAACATTTTCAAATTGTAGCAAATTTTTCCATGCCAGTGAAAACTTTAAAATATTTCACTTCCTTTCTAATCATAACGAAAGTTTTAATTTGACATTATGCATTTATGAAACTTTTGTTCAAAAACATTGAAATATTTTTGCCTTTCAATTCAAACTCAACATTTAATATCTGTTAATTTGTTCAGTTACAATAACTGTGTGGTATTTTATGTAAATCAGCATGAATTGACACTAATGATAAATTATGTGTATATGTGTGTGTATATATATATATATATATATATTGTGTGTGTGTGTGTAAAGAAAGAGTGAATAAAAGTTAAATTTAACATTAGAACTATGCAATTATTAACAATGGCATTGTATTTGTGACTACTGCAAACGTATATCAGCAGCAGAATATATTATTTCTACAAGTGTAGAGTTATGAACATTGTAATTGTTTTTGTAGGTCAGGAAATCATGTAACTAATTACTGTAAATGCAGAATTATTAACTTACAGAATTGCATTTGGTTTTGTGAATTAACAGAATATGTGATTATTGCAAATGTGGAGTTGTTAACATAAAATGATTTTTTTTGCTTTTTGTAGAACTCGCCATTCTACCAAAAGTATGAAGTAGTTATTAAGGAAGGTCTGTTTATCTTTTTTCTTTTAACTTATATAATAACATTCATCGATATTTATGTTACACTCACCTACAAACAGAAAAACTACCATCTCCAAGAAAAAAAAAAAAACCAAAAAATATATACTTTTTTATTCTTCTTGTAATGCATATTTTTTTAAACTAAAGTAGACTGTTTCACATGTTAATCTTGTATATTTGATCATTGTATCATAAAAACAAAAGTGTTTGTGCATGTTTTGATTACCTTATAATTTTATTTATATAATCTGGTTGTTAAGGTGTAAAACAATTGTTTTCTGACCAAAGGTGTAATAATTTGTACTGCAGTCATAATAATCTACTTGTAGAAGTTGGTGACGTTAATATTTATTCCACTATTATTTGGCAGGAAATGTATTCATAAACAGACAGGGAATCATTATGCTGTGAAGATTATCAGTAGAAAGGTTGACAGTGATAAAGAAGTTAGTCTACTGCAGTATTGTCAAGGCCATCCAAACATAGTCAATTTCCATGAAGTATACCATGATGAAGTAAGCAAGAGTTATCCAGTGTTGTTCAGTGCTTCAAAGATTATTTTGAGCTGGTACTATAAATCTGTGTAATTTTTTATGTGTATACTTTTGTAGGTAACAATAAGGTTTCCTGTTTTACTGATTTTTAAAGTTCATTATATGTAATTGTTTTTATAACTATTTTGATTTGAATTGGAACCATAAAAAGATTTTTTTACCAGAATATATTTGTTTATAATTTAGATATCTTCCTTTTTTTCCATAGTTAACAAACAACAAGTACAAACAATTAAAGAACGCTTCTAAGTAATAAGTTAAATTTAGCCTTGCTGCTTAAAAGCAGTGGAATGCATGCTTAAGTATACATCCATTCTCACGATATTCCCAAGTGATAATCGAGGTACAGGCTTAATTACTTAGACCACAGTAACTTCAAGCTAAACAATTTATTTTTTCAGTAGCATCTTGTATATATGTTTGTCATAATATAATTTCACATTTTTTACCGGGGCTTTTGGTATATGCTTTGAAACCAAGGGTATGAAAACACTTGTTTTCTTTGTGTTTAACTGCAAGTATTGTCTGAATATTTGAAACATATGGAATTAAGACAGCAGTATGCTGTATTATAAGTGATGCTGAAATTAAGTGTGCTGTAATTGTGGAAGTTGTATGTAATATTTGGTATAGCATATGTAAATGCACATAAGCTTAGCCAAAGACCACTTGTTTTCAGGTTCACACTTTTGTTGTACTTGAGCTTTTGAAAGGAGGTGAATTGTTGGCAAGGATTCGACAGAAAGCAAGGTTTACAGAAAAAGAAGCAGGTCACATATTCCGAAAACTAGTCTCTGCTGTTCATTTCATGCATTCTCGAGGAGTGGTTCATAGGGATCTGAAGCCAGAGGTAATCCAAATCTCAGTTTTTATGCTGTTCATGTATTAAACATATACATTCTATTTTTTCACACGAGAATTTCATAAGTAATATGAGATTATGTGCATTATTTTGGCAATGAAAAACAGATACTAGATCGGTTTAAAAAAGCACATTAAAAAACAGAAGTTTGATCATAACCAAAGCCAACTATTGTGGTAAATTATATAGTTATTAACTTTGTAACCATATTCAGCAAGCATCTTAAGTTCACTCATTGATTCACTCAATGTCTCTCCTCTTCTGGGGACAGGGGGTCATTTTTGGATCATTGGTTCATCTTTGTGATCCTTTGGATCAACTGATTATTCAGTCTGTGTCTTTTTCTCTACCTTCTGATCTAGTCATTAATAAACTTAAGATTTCAGAAATTCAGGAAGTCTCAAATCTCCTTCATAAAGGAGCTATCTGAATAATGTACCTCAATATCTCCTATCTCTTTGTGGTTCCAAGGAAATCTTTGTAATTTCATCTTTTCCAAGAGACATCTCATTTTAAAATGACATACATAAGACTTTTAATGAAATTTTTTATGTTTTTACATTTGCACTTTGAGCTTTGTTAAAAACTAAGAAACTTGAAGTGGCTGTAGAGTAAAAAAGCTATTCAGCTAAGATCTTTTTAATTACCATTTGCATAAAAATCATAAAAGATTGTTTAACTGCACAGATTTCAAGGTTTGGGAAAAGGTGCCTTGCCTTTTTTATTGAAATATAAATTGTAAAACCTAGTATTCTAATTTTTTGAGAGAAAACTGTCTGTACATGTAAACCTATTATATTGTTGTGTCAGCGAGGTCACGTGACAAGTGTCACGCCACGTTTCTAGAACTATCCTGTTCCTTCGGGAGTGCTCTAGCATTTGCTAGATTGTGGGTGGTCTGGTATATATATAAGATGGTCACGGCGTGACAGTATAATGTGTGTAGGTAGTGAGTAATTGATCTGCAGTCAGAGAGTATTGTTGAAGTACGTTATAGCATTTGTTTTAGCACGAATGTTGAAATCAAGTGTATCATAAAGTTATATTCAGAAAGAATAAACCAGTTTTATTAAGTAAGGACTTGTGTCACTAAAGTTTCGTCGGAACGAAGTTACGGAAAGTTAATTAACAAACGGAGAAGTAACAATATTATGCAAAAAACTTTAGATCACGGGTCAAAGGCCATGTCTTTGCATTTGTTGAATCGCATTCAAAATTTTATTGAATTACTATTTTATGAATTTATGTCAGTAAGTTTGGTATCAAACTGTAGATAATTAAAATTTTAGTATTATACATTATTTAATTTCTTAATTTAAAAGTAAATATTAAAAAATATAAAGTCTATAGTTTCGTATGAATTAGGAACTCAAATTACTGATATTGACAAACTAGAATGTAAAATAAAAATCTCCTATCTTTTCTATTTGCTGAAATATCACTCATATACTGAATCAAACACAGTGGCCCCGCTAACCTCTTTTCATTTTTGGAAATGCTCCCTTATATACACATACTTCTGTCTATGACATGTGAATAACCAATTGAAAGCTCAGAATTAACCCCCTAGTGGCTTTATCACCCATTTTAAAGTATTACAACATCATTTCGTTCTTTCGATATAAAACTTCATTGTGGTAAGTTCAGTCTTTAATCTGCTTAAAATTTCATATTTTTTTAGATCCAAATATAGCTTAGCTACTAAGGTTGAT